GGGGGAGGAGGGAGGAGTTTGGTTTTCAGGGAGTGGCTGGCTAGGAGGAGAGGGTCAGCTCAGGAGGCTGCCGAGGCTGTCGGGAGCTTGGGGGGCAGGCTGCTTTCACAGAAGCAGCTGTGGCTGACCCTGGTTGTGGAAACAACAGTGAAGCCATCACACGGGACACGTAGGTTAGGAGAGCGAGGGAGTGTGCGGAAGGAGCCAGCTAAGTGCCAGTGGTTAAGGAGAGATCAACGTGGGATGTATCTTAAAGCCTGAAGCCTGTGTTTAGGGAGGCTTTGAGGGGATCTGAAGCCGGCCACACCCGCGTTCTGTTTCTCCCTGGAGGTATGAACTGCACCAGCAGGAAACCAAACTGGTGGAGAGGGCTGGGGTGCCGTGGAGGTGCAAGATTTTGAGACTTCCCGTCTGCTTAGTGTTGGGATTAGAGGCAACTACCTCCCTCTACACACACACACACACCCCTGGGCGGGTCTGCTTGTCCCTGGCTCAGGCAAAAGGGACAGGAATATCTGTGAACTCGGTGCACTCACCTGTGTGCGGGCTTTCATTGCCCTGTCCAGCCTTTCCCAAGTCGCCTCGATGCGACTCCTCTGGGCTTGAATCTGGGGCTTGTGCCTGCGTGCTGTCCGCTCCAGGGAGCCTGCCAGCTCCCTCAGGGCCTGCACCTTGGCCTGGCCCAGGCTCTGAACTTCCTTTCTGAAAGCATCAAACTTCTCTTCCAGCACCTGTGAGAATACAATGCCAGGGAGGGTCACTCTGGAGGTGGTGTCCAGGAGCACTTGAACCTCATGAAGGGCTGGGCGGTACCTGCCAGGTCCCTCATCAGTACCGACTGAGGCAGTGGCTCAAGTCCCCGGGCTCTGACTCTAGTTCCCTAGGGATCCTCCCAGAGCCCGGAGACTCCCTACTTCCCCTCAGCTTACCCCATCGCCTCCCTCTCACCCAAGTGCACACTTCCTTTGCCCTTGCTCAGCAGTCTCAATCCGCTCTTCCTAGGTTTGCTCATGAGTGACTCGCCTTGGCAGCCTCCAGGTCCTGCCCGTGGTCCTGGGACTCAGCGGTGGCCACCTTGCTGGCCAGCCAGGCGTCGAGGAGCAGGGCCTCCCGTTCCAGCTGGTGGAGCTGTAGCTGCTCCTGCAGACCCTGCCGCCTGCCTTCTGCCCTCTGCAGCAGCCCCGAGTGGGCCTCCCTCGCCGCCCGCATCCGGGCCAGCACCCTGGGGCTGTGGCAACAAGGACAACCCAGCTGGAGCCCTTCTTCCCTCATGTCCCTCTGTAGGGAGCACCCTCCCTGCACCGCCCTAGGTGGGCCTGGCTCCCACCCACCTTTCTGGGTTCTGTCTGCTCTCAAGGAGAGCGGCTGTCTGCTGTAGCCTCTCAATTCGCATGCTGAACCCCTCTAGGTCCCTCGTGGTGGCCTCCAGCTGCCGCAGAAAGGCGCGCGTGGCCTCGGCACTCTGGCCCACATCCTCGATGTCCAGGACACGGCCCTGCTCTTCCAGCCAGGATTCTGCCTCCTGGAGCTGGCGTGGCACAGAGGAGGTGTTCCCTGGGTGCTGGCCTCCAGGGCTCCCAGCGTGGAGCTCATAGCCTCGACATTCAGAGCAGGGGTTCTCACCCTGGCTGCACCCTGGAATTACCTGAGAGCTTTTACACTCTCTGTGCCTGGCTCTCAACCCTAAAGATTTCTGGTTTGGTCTGGAATGGAACCTGAGTATCAACCCGCATTTCTTACAGATTCCAGGTCACTCTGATACAGAGCAATGGCTGAGAGTCATTGGTTTAGAAGAAATGGCACATGCGCTAAAACCGAACCCAGGGAGGGGCCTGTGTTCTGGATAACATGCAGCATCGACAGCTTGGGGGCAGGGGACCACTTAGGGCAGGTAAGTGAAGATGCACAGAGAGCCTGGAGCCCCACGTGGGGGTTACCTTCCAGGCCTGTGTACGCTCTGGGTGTCCTCATGCCCAGGCCCTGCCCTTTTGCATCTCGCATCGGCCCCTCACCTCTGTCAGGAACTGCTGGGCCTCCTGAGCCTGCTGTAGCAGCAGCCGCCTCTGCGTCACCTGTGCCCGTAGGGAGCCCATGGCATTCTCCAGCTGCTGTACCCGGACAGCCACGTCACAGGCCGAGTGCCCAGCCCGCACTAGCTTGTGTCCTGCGTCCACCACGGCCTGAGTCAGGGCCTCGTGGCTGCTGATCTCACTCTCCAGGTTCTGTGGAGGCGGAGGAAAACATGACCAGGATGCTACCGGACGCTCCTCAGGGGGCCCCAGAGTTGTGCTAGAAGCCTCACAGTCCCCCACAGACTCGCCCCCAAAGCGCTCCCTGTCCATATGGCCAACAAAGAACCTAGGGTACCCCCAAAGCCCCGCCAGAGGCACAGAGCTCCAAGCACCACTGGCTGACTGAGTCGTGTGCTCAGTCTGAGGGCAGCCCCTCCCTGCTCTGGGGGGGGGATGGTTCCCATACCTGGTGCTTCTCTTGCAGGTGCCGCACGGCGCTCAGACTCTGCCCGCAGTCCTGGGTGGCGGCCAGAGGCAGCCTCTCCTGCACCCATGCCATCTCTTCTTCAGCATCCCTGAAGAACTGCGAGAGGCGGCTCCGAGCCTCCAGGGCCTCTCTGCGCTCCCGCAGGGGCTCCTGAAGGCTCTCAAACCTGCAGCAGTGGAGGCGGGGCCAGGGCAGGTAGGGGCCACGGTCATCAGTGTCAGTACCAGACTGTGGCCCAGAGCTCACCCACTCCGTGCCCCTCAGTGTGGGGTTGGGGGGAAGCCCGGAGGAGAGCAGCTGGAGGGCAGGGAGGAAGGGAGGGGGGAGGAGGATGCATGTGCCCGGACCTACCTCCGCAGCAGCTTCTGGGCCCGGTCTTCCAGATCTGGGGCGAGGCAGTGGCCTTCCCGCGTCAAGACCTGAGCCTGGCCCAGCAGTAGCTGCACCTGCCCGGCCTGCCTGTCTACTGCCGCCTCCAGCCCGCCCTGAGCCCCCAAGAGCTCGTCCAACCCGGGCTGGTCCCGGCCCGGGATGGGGGCTCTCAGCGTGACCTCCACAGGCTCCAGCCAGCTCTCTAGTTCTTCCACACTCCGCCGGAGACGCAGGGCCTGGGGCAGAGTGCGAGGTGGGCACAAGAGGGAGAGGCCTAGCGCCTCCCCCACGCACACCATGGTTCGCAGGGCCCACCTCGCAAGCTTCCTGAAGTGTGGCCGCCTTCCTCCGGCTGTTGGCCTGCAGCCTGTCCCAGAGCTCTCCCAGCTCCTGCAGCCGTTCCCGGATGGTCTCTGAGGCTGGGTGGCCCTCCTGCAGCAGCCTCTGCCCCTCCTACAGCAACACAGGGCACACCTCATGGACCCAGCACTGCCGGTGCCCTGGGACTTGTGCTGGCTTCCACCGCTACGGGCTGCACGCTAGCTGTGCGATCTTGGGCAAGTTCTGTAACCTCTCTGAGCTCATGGTCCTTATCCATATGATGGGGATGACACTGGTTGTTCTGTTTAAATGTTTTGTTTAAAATATTAAAAATTCTT